GTGCGTATCATCTCCTTTCTTCGTGCTAAGAAAATGGTTAGTAAAGGGTGTTTAGCTTTCTTGGCACATCTCAAGGATGACACAACCCAAGTACCTTCGATTGAGTCGGTTTCGGTGGTCCGTGAGTTTCTGGATGTGTTCCCTGCAAATCTTCCTGGTATGCCACCAGATAGGGATATTGACTTCTGTATTGATCTTGAACCGGGTACTCGCCCCATTTCTATACCCCCTTATAGAATGGCCCCCGCGGAGTTAAGAGAGTTAAAAGCCCAACTTCAAGAGTTGTTGAGAAAAGGCTTCATTAGACCAAGTGCATCTCCTTGGGGTGCTCCGGTGTTGTTTGTGAAGAAAAAGGATGGGAGTTTTCGGATGCGCATAGACTACCGGCAGTTGAACAAGGTAACCATAAAGAACAAGTATCCTCTTCCTCGCATTGATGACTTGTTCGATCAGTTACAAGGTGCTTGTGTCTTCTCTAAGATTGACTTGAGATCCGGTTATCATCAATTGAAAATACGGGCAACGGATGTGCCAAAGACTGCTTTTAGAACCAGGTATGGGCATTACGAATTTGTAGTGATGTCTTTTGGTCTTACGAATGCCCCTGCTGCTTTCATGAGCTTGATGAACGGGATTTTAAGCCATATCTGGATCTCTTTGTGATCATATTCATTGATGATATATTGGTATACTCAAAGAGCAAGAAGGAACATGAAGAGCATTTGAGAAGGGTATTGGAAATGTTGAGGGAGAAAAAGCTTTATGCCAAATTCTCCAAGTGTGAGTTTTGGCTAGATGCAGTGTCCTTCTTGGGGCATGTGATTTCTAAGGATGTGGTGATGGTTGATCCTTTTAAGATTGAGACAGTGAAGAATTGGGTAAGACCTACTAATGTGTCAGAAATAAGGAGCTTTGTTGGGTTAGCTAGCTACTACCGCCGATTTGTCAAGGGATTCTCTTCTATTGCTTCGCAACTGACGAACTTGACTAAGCAAAATGTCCCATTCGTATGGTCGGATGAGTGTGTGAGGAAAGCTTTCGCTCAAGACTCTGTTGACTACTGCACCAATTCTCACCTTGCCAGTGGAAGGTAAGAATTTTATTGTCTATTATGATGCATCCTATTCGGGTTTGGGTGCAGTGCTAATGCAAGAGAAGAATGTGATTGCTTATGCTTCAAGACAATTAAAAGTGCATGAACGTAACTATCCAACTTATGATTTGGAATTGGACGCGGTAGTGTTTGCATTAAAGCAATGGAGACACTATTTATATGGGGTTAAGTGTGAGGTCTATACGGATCATCGTAGCCTACAGTATGTCTTTACTCAGAAAGATTTGAACTTGAGACAGAGGAGATGGATGGAACTACTGAAGGACTACGACATCACTATTTTGTATCATCCGAGGAAGGCGAATGTTGTAGCGGATGCTTTAAGTAGAAAGGCAGGAAGCATGGGAAGTCTAGCTCACTTGCAAGCTTCTAGACGCCCATTGGCTAGAGAAGTTCAGATTCTGGCTAACAACCTTATGAGATTAGAAGTAAATGAGAAGGGAGGATTTTTAGCTTGTGTGGAGGCAAGATCTTCCTTCTTGACAAGATTAAGGGAAAGCAGTTTAATGATGAAAAATTGATCCGGATTCGAGATAAAGTGTTGCAAGGAGAGGCTAAAGAAGCGACGATCGATGAGGAAGGCGTTTTGAGGATTAAGGGAAGGGTGTGTGTACCCCGTGTCGATGATTTGATCAACACCATTCTTACAGAGGCTCATAGTTCCGGGTATTCTATACATCCTGGTGCAACCAAGATGTACCATGACCTAAAGCAACACTTTTGGTGGAGTAGGATGAAGCGTGATATTGTGGATTTTATTGCCAAATGTCCAAACTGTCAACAAGTAAAGTATGAACACCAAAGGCCCGAAGGAACACTTCAGAGAATGCCCATTCCGGAATGGAAATGGGAGAGAATCTCAATGGACTTCGTGGTTGGTCTTCCAAAGACAATGGGTAAGTATGACTCCATTTGGGTGATTGTTGATAGGTTAACTAAGTCTGCTCATTTTATTCCGGTTAAGGTGACTTACAATGCCGAGAAGTTAGCCAAGATCTATATCTCAGAAATCGTTCGATTGCATGGGGTTTCACTATCCATCATATCAGATAGAGGTACGCAGTTTACTTCTAAGTTTTGGAAAACCTTGCATGCGGAATTGGGTACTAGGTTGGACCTTAGTACTGCGTTCCATCCTCAGACCGATGGTCAGTCTGAGCGAACGATTCAAGTGTTGGAGGATATGCTTCGTGCGTGTGTGATAGAATTTGGTGGCCATTGGGATAACTTCTTACCCTTAGCGGAGTTTTCATGCAATAATAGCTATCACTCAAGCATTGATATGGCTCCATTTGAAGCATTGTATGGTAGGAGATGTAGGTCCCCCATTGGTTGGTTTGATGCATTCGAGGTTAGACCTTGGGGTACTGATCTTTTGAGAGATTCGATAGAGAAAGTGAAATCTATTCAAGAAAAGCTTCTAGCGGCGCAAAGTAGGCAAAAAGAATATGCAGATCGAAAGGTTAGAGACTTAGAGTTCATGGAGAGTGAACAAGTCTTGTTGAAAGTTTCGCCAATGAAAGGGGTGATGCGGTTTGGTAAAAGAGGCAAGCTAAGCCCAAGGTACATTGGTCCCTTTGAAGTACTTAAGCGAGTAGGGGAGGTGGCTTATGAGTTAGCCTTGCCTCCAGGGCTGTCCGGAGTACATCCGGTATTCCATGTGTCGATGTTGAAAAGATACCACGGGGATGAAAACTACATCATCCGTTGGGATTCCGTTTTGCTTGATGAAAATTTGTCTTATGAGGAGGAACCTATTGCCATTCTAGATAGAGAAATTCGCAAGTTGAGATCAAGGGAGATTGCATCCATCAAAGTTCAATGGAAGAATCGACCAGTTGAAGAAGCCACTTGGGAGAAAGAGGCAGATATGCGAGAAAGATACCCACATCTGTTTACAGATTCAGGTACTCCTTTTCGCCCTTGTTTTCCTTCTTGTGATCGTTCGGGGACGAATCATGGGTAAATTGGTATCTATTGTAACGACCTGTTTAGTCGTTTTGAGCAGCAGATTTTATTTCTGGAAAAACAGGCTGAGGCAACGGACCCCACGACGGACCGCCATGGGCACGACGGACCGGTGCAGGGTCTCGTTTCAAAACACTTAGAAAATCTGAAATTAGGTACTGAAAATCGACTCTCTGAAATTCTTAATGGAATGGCATGACGGACCGTCACAGACTCTTCAGAGAAATTGAGTCTCTAAACTCTGTGACGGAGCAGCAGGACGGACCGTCGCAGGCGCGACGGGCCGTCATAGGCTGCGTAAATCCCAGTCTGAGTCGGAATTCCTCAATTGTTTTAAGGGACGTTTTGGACCATTCCTACTTTAATTATAAAGCTAGAGGGTTAAGGTTAATAAGTCTAATTACTTGGGGGTTAAAAGAGGTAACCTTAAGTTAATTAGTGGGTTATTATTGTCATCTTTTATTCTTAATTATATGCTAATTAGGGTAAAAGAAAGAGGGTTTGAATAAGAAAAAGAAAAGAACAGAAAGAAAGAGAAGGAGAATCGATAGAGAGAGACGAACGAAGAGGAAAAAACAAAAGCTTGGGAAATTTGCTTGCTTGATCACGAATCTTCGGTGGAGGTAGGTTATGATTTTTATACTATTCGTAGTAAACTCTTAATAGCGAATGATATGTATGGGTAGTATTGTAAACCCTTCTATATGCTTAATTGTATGCTTGCATGAATGTGATTATGTAATTGTGATAAAATAAGCATGATGAAGCTATTGAATCCTAAATCTTGAAAAAGAAACCCTAATCTACTTTGTTAATGATGATGCCTTGGTATAAAGGAAGGCTTGATGAACGAAAGTAGTGAGATTAGGGGATCGGGTGCCACGTTCCGGTACCAGGATAGTATATGAGGATCGGAGTGTCACGTTCCGACACCAGGATAGTATATGGATCGGGTGCCACGTTCCGGTACCAGGATAGTATATGAGGATCGGAGTGTCACGTTCCGACACCAGGATAGTATATGGATCGGGTGCCACGTTCCGGTACCAGTATAGTATATGAGGATCAGAGTGTCACGTTCCGACACCAGGATAGTATATGGATCGGGTGCTACGTTCCGGTACCAGGATAGTATATGAGGATCGGAGTGTCACGTTCCGACACCAGGATAGTATATGGATCGGGTGCCACGTTCCGGTACCAGGATAGAATGAGGATCGGAGTGTCACGTTCCGACACCAGGATAGTATATAAGGAGCAGGGTGTCACGTACCGACACAAGAGGAATAAAGATAATGAATCTTGAAAGATGTTAATATACTCAATCTAATGAACCTAATTCCCAAATGAGTATGATGAAGAGGCGTGAGTCCTCATTGATGAGCTTGGTGTTGTAACCAAGGGTTATGGTAATTGTAAATGCTGCATGCTAAGGATATTAGTTGATTTTATGATATTGCTTAATATATATTGTTTTCTATTTTGAGTTGGCCGATGATACCTACTCAGTACTTGTGTTTGTACTGACCCCCTACTTTTATGTTTTCTTCTTGTTTATTTGTGGAGTGCAGCAAACGTACCGTCATCTTCAACTCAACCGCAATTCTAGCCAGTCTTCGTCACATCGGATCTTCAGGGTGAGCTAATGCTTCTAGCTTGGACTGGATCTTCTTCCTCATGTCTTGATGCCTTGAAGTTCCGGCATGGACTAGCTTTTACTTGTTTTAGCTTTTAGAATACTCTTAGTTTAGAAATTGATCATAGATGTTCTTGTGATGATGACTTCCAGATTTTGGGGAATAATAGATGTTGAATTTTAGAAGTTAATGAATTGGTTTTATTTAATGAGTTTGAGTCTTCCGCATTATTTACTGTTGATATTATATTGAAATGTTAGAGTTTAGATTGGTTGGTTCGCTCACATAGGAGGGTAAGTGTGGGTGCCAGTCACGGTCCGGATTTGGGTCGTGACATTGTTAAATTGTTAAAAGGGACGATGAAGAAATTACCGTCGATTTCCAAGGCCTCCCATGTTAGTGAGACAGATTTTTATTTTTTAAATTATTATTTCATATATTCAATTTTTTTCATTTTTATTTATTACTAACACTTTTACTAAGTGTGTTTACAGGTACCCAAGACTTGTTTCATTGAAGTTATTCGAGAGGAGTTCAATTTATATTTTACAATTCATTATTTTGTATATATCGATGCTAGGCAAACTTTAGGCCGTTTCTCATGTTGTTGTTTTATTTTATTATTATTGTTTATTTTATATAATATTAATGGTATATTATTGTTATCGCCTCAATTTGAAAAAATGAACTCAGTCGGGAACCACAGTTGTGGATTTCGAAGGGTTTCTAATCCCTTCCCTTCGGAATAACTTGAACCCCTTATCTAGAATCAAATTGGTTTCGTGGACTCTCTTTTAAGTTAATTAATTAATCGGTTTCCTAGTTTTCCTAAAAATTAGGTGGCGACTCCCTTCTCCCCCTTTAACTCCCATTAATCCTTTTAAACTCATTTTACCACTTTTGACCCCTTTACCCTTTTTTAGAAATTATTTTAACTAATTCTTTTTTTATTGAGTCTCCACAATGTTGCTTCCATTAAAAGGATGTCAACAGAATGACGACTCCGCTGGGAATATTAGAGGTTCTAACCATTCTGGGTTCATTTTTTCAAATTGTTGATACTATTCTTTATTGTGCTATTCATTATATCTTTTATATTTTGTTAATTATTTGCATGTCGTACTATTTATTTATTCATTATTTATTGTATATTGCCATTGTATTTCATGACATAATTTCTGCCAAATGGCAAATAGAATGCATTAGAATAAAGGCGGTTACGTGGCTTTCCACGACTGTCCTTTAGAAAAACACCTTCGAAATTCATTGGAAGTGATAAACAAATAGTTGGCTTGCGGTCATCTAACGTTGTTATTATACTTCATCCCCTATTTTGTCCAACTCGGGTAAACAAGTCTCTTTTTAAGCCCACTCTTAGTCAGCTAGTGTAGAGCGAAATCAAAATATCGTATTAAGCATGACACTCGAGACATATTTGTATAACACATGCACTCATTGTTTGTATATTATATGATTTATCGTGATATATGGTAGTCCATTATTTCAAAGTTACTCTTGCTAACATAGTTTTAGAATACTTATAATTTAAGTTCAATCTTTTTTAAAGTTAAATCGTTGAAACTATGTTTGACCTGATTCCTAATTCAACGCGATACGTAGGCGCCATTAAGGCTCGGTCATCTTCCCCGTAAGTTTTCCAAATTTTAAGAACGGAAACTAGCGCAAAATTTTGTGGAAGTCTCCAAAATTTTATAATGGAGATAGTTGTTACAATATTAAATACCGGAGGTTTGTCGAAGCAGAAATAGGGGCAAAATTTTTTAGGAATGCTCTCAAAATTTTCACCAAGATTGTACACATACACCAGTATTTATGAGGCTTCACTCCGAGTTGGTTTGTTTATTTTGCATTAATTTTTTGTACATGATGTCACATTCATTGTATATCTTTGATTTTTACTATACTCCATTGAAAAAGTTAGTTTAATTGACATTTGTTAAGTTTGGGTAGTCCGTCCTTCAACGCGACTCATTATTTCATTATTTTATTGTTGTTACTTTTGTTAAATTTAGGTGGTCTTCCCTTCAATGTGACTCACTGATTCATTCGTCCTTGTAAAATTTTCTTTAAATAGTAAATAAAAAAAATTGTTCAATTCGGGTTGCCCGCCTTTCAATGTGGCTCATTGATTTTTATTCTCATTATTTTTTCCTTTCAAAAAGTAATTTGTTGTTTATAAATTTTATGTCATATTTGGAAGAACTACGCAAACCTGATTCTCATCAATGAGATACGTAGGCAGCCTTTATTGGGTTCGGTATTATTTCTTCAAAAGATTTTTTACTTTTTATTCTTTGAATATTTATATTTTGCGAAATTATTTTTTCACTGGGTTGGTGCCAACACAGTTCAAGTGTGCATGTGAAAAATAATTTGTATAATAATGAAGATTGACTTCTTGTTAAACCATGGATTCTTTTGGTACCTCTCATTTATACTTTGTTACACTTGCAAATGTTGTCTTGTATAAATTCAAGATTAGAACAAAATCAGATTCATTATTTCATGTGCATTGTATGGTGAGTTTTGAATCAAATTCAATTATTTTTCATTGTTGATCTAGAACTTGGCCTAAATGTTATTGAGGCGAAATTCTGAGTAATGTCTGATTTGAAAAATGATTGCAGGCCTTCTTTGATCCGTTTGAGCCTTTCGAAACCTACCAAATGATGTTAATCCTTAGATGTCCCCAGTTTAAGCTTATAGCCTTTTCTTTGGACAACCACATCTTAACATATACCTTTTCTGAGTGCTTTTACGCACTATCTCTCTTTTGAACAGACTTTCTTGAGCACACTGAAGACATGCAAGTCATAAGAGAAGATACAAAGTTCAAATTTGTCAAAGACAAAAGTTATCAAAGTTCCTGAATGTCCAGAAAACAAAAATGACTTTAGAAGAAAAAAAATGGTTCAAAATTCCCACCAATTTAATAAAGCGAAATTTCAAAAACACTCCAAACAAAAAAGGAGAAAATTCAAAAAGAGGGAAAACTCAGACAAACAGAGTTTCAAAGAAGTCAAAAGTGCAAAAGGAAGGGACAACAAAGAGAATCAAACGCTAAAAGCATAATAAATGTTGAAAGCATCTATTTAGTGCAATGCTCAAGAAGGAATAAGTCACTTTAATCCCAAATGACTATCCTATCCGTTCCTAAGCCAACATTACAAGCTATTAACAAGCCCTACATGATTCCAATTCAAATGTTCCACATTAGCGGAGACTTACATGAAGGTCAAGCCTATGGTATCACAATTGCATGCGTTGAAATATTTTTCGAGTGTGAGTGTGCTTTTCCAGATGTTTTCAAATAAAAACACTTTAAATGTGCGCAAATTGAAAGTTTCTTTCTTGTGAAGGCACTTGAAACATGATGTTAGGTCTAGTTCTAAGCTTTTATTTATAGCAAGAGACAAATCTTGTTGTTGCTTAAATACATTTGAGGTGCCACTTGAATCCATAGGAATTACCTCGATGTCAATTTTAGTTGAAAGAGAAAAATTGTGAGAAATTTTTGTACAATACTATTGTTGGCGCTAACAAAGTTAAAATATGTTTCATTGTTCATAAAATAAAAGTGGGTTGAAACCCACTTTACAATATTTGTCCATACCAACTTTGTGAACCGTTTCATTATTGATATTTGTCCAAACAACTTTGTGGACCGTTTCAAAGTTTAAATTGCATTTTGGTAGTTATACCCTTCAAAATGACATCTTTTATTTTTCGGTAGTCATACCCTTCAAAATGACATCTTTTAAATTTGGGTTGCCATACCTTTCAAAATGACATCATTTTATTTTTATGCCCCATATTTGTCCATACCAACTTTGTAGACCGTTTCATTGTTGATATTTGTCCATACCTTTCAAAATGACATCATTTTGTTTATTATACTTCATCTCGTAGTTTGTCCAACTCGGGTAAACAAGTCTCGTTTTAAGCCCACTCTTAGTCAGCTAGTGTAGAGCGAAATCGAAACATCATATTAAGCATGACACTCGAGACATATTTGTATAACACATGCACTCATTGTGTGCATATTATATGATATATCGTGATGTATGATAGTCCATTATTTCAAAGTTACTCTTGCTAACCTAGTTTTAGAATACTTCTAATTTAAATTCAATCTTTTTTCTAGTTAAATCGTTGGAACTACGTTTGACCTGATTCCTGCTTCAACGGGATACGTAGGCGCCATTAAGGCTCGGTCATCTTCCCCGTAAATTTTCCAAATTTTAAGAACAGAAACTGGGGCAAAATTTTGTGGAAGTCTCCAAAATTTTATAATGGAGATAGTTGTTACAATATTAAATACCGGAGGTTTGTCGAAGCTGAAACATGGGCAAAAATTTTTAGGAATGCCCTCACAATTTTCACCAAGATTGTACGCAGACTCCAGTATTAATGAGGCTTCACTCCGAATTGGTTTTTTTTATTTTGCATTAATTTTTTGTACATGATGTCACATTCATTGTATATCTTTGATTTTTATTATACTCCATTGAAAAAAATAGTTTAATTGACATTTGTTAAGTTGGGGTAGTCCGTCCTTCAACGCGACTCGTTATTTCATTATTTTATTTTTGTTACTTTTGTTAAATTTAGGTGGTCCGACCTTCAATATGACTCACTGATTCATTCATCCTTGTAAAATTTTCTTTAAATAGTAAATAAAAAAATATTTTGTTCAATTCGGGTTGCTCTACTTTCAATGTGGCTCATTGATTTTTATTCTCATTATTTTTTCCTTTCAAAAAGTAATTTGTTGTTTATAAATTTTATGTCATATTTGGAAGAACTACGCAAACCTGATTCTCATCAATGAGATGCGTAGGCAGCCCTTATTGGGTTCGGTATTCTTTCTTCAAAAGATTTTTTTACTTTTTATTCTTTGAATGATTATATTTTTGAAATTATTTTTTCACTGGGTTGGTGCCAACACAGTTCAAGTGTGCATGTGAAAAATAATTTGTATAATAATGAAGATTGACTTCTTGTTAAACCATTGATTCTTTTGGTACCTCTCATTCATACTTTGTTACACTCGCAAATGTTGTCTTGTATAAATTCAAGATTAGAACAAAATCAGATTCATTGTTTCATGTGCCTTTTGTGGTGAGTTTTGAATCAAATTCAATTATTTTTCATTGTTGATCAAGAACTTGGCCTAAATGTTATTGAGGCAAAATTCTGAGTAATGTTTGATTTGAAAAATGATTGCAGACCTTCTTTGATCCGTTTAAGCCTTTCAAAACCTACCAAATGATGTTAATCCTTAGATGTCCCCAGTTTGAGCCTATAGCCTTTTGTTTGGACAACCACGTCTTAACCTATACCTTTTCTGAGTGCTTTTACGCACTATCTCTCTTTTGAACAGACTTTCTTGAGCACACTAAAGACATGCGAGTCATAAGAGAAGATACAAAGTTCAAATTTGTCAAAGACAAAAGTTATCAAAGTTCATGAATGTCCATAAAACAAAAATGACTTCAGAAGAAAAAAAAGGGTTCAAAATTCCCACCAATTTAATAAAGCAAAATTTCAAACACACTCCAAACAAAAAAGGAGAAAATTCAAAAAGAGGGAAAACTCAGACAAACAGAGTTTCAAAGAAGTCAAAAGTGCAAAAGGAAGGGACAACAAAGAGTATCAAACGCTAAAAGCATAATAAATGTAGAAAGCATCTATTTAGTGCAATGCTCCAGAAGGAATAAGTCACTTTAATCCCAAATGACTATCCTATCCGTTCCTAAGCCAACATTACAAGCTATTAACAAGCCCTACATGATGCCAATTCTAATGTTCCAGAATAGCGGAGATTTACATGAAGGTCAAGCCTATGGTATCACAATTGCATGCGTTGAAATTTTTTTCGAGTGTGAGTGTGCTTTTCCGAATGTTTTCAAATCAAAACACTTTAAATATGCGCAAATTGAAAGGTTCTTTCTTGTGAGGGCACTTGAAACATGATGTTAGGTCTAGTTCTAAGCTTTTATTAATAGCAAGACGGACAAATCTTGTTGTTGCTTAAGTACATTTGAGGTACCACTTGAATCCATAGTAATTACCTCGATGTCAATTTCAGTTGAAAGAGAAAAATTGTGAGAAATTTTTGTACAATAGTATTGTTGGCGCTAACCAAGTTAAAATATGTTTCATTGTTCATAAAACAAAAGTGGGTTGAAACCCACTTTACAATATTTGTCCATACCAACTTTGTGAACCGTTTCATTGTTGATATTTGTCCAAACAACTTTGTGGACCGTTTCAAAGTTTAAATTGCATTTTGGTAGTTATACCCTTCAAAATGAATATCTTTTATTTTTCGGTAGTCATACCCTTCAAAATGACATCTTTTTAATTTGGGTTGCCATACCTTTCAAAATGACATCATTTTATTTTTATGCCCCATATTTGTCCATACCAACTTTGTGGACCGTTTCATTGTTGATATTTGTCCATACCTTTCAAAATGACATCATTTTGTTTATTATACTTCATCTCGTTGTTTGTCCAACTCGGGTAAACAAGTCTCTTTTTAAGCCCACTCTTAGTCAGCTAGTGTAGAGCGAAATCGAAACATCGTATTAAGCATTTCACTCGAGACATATTTGTATAACACATGCACTCATTGTTTGTGTATTATATGATATATCGTGATGTATGATAGTCCATTATTTCAAAGTTACTCTTGCTAACCTAGTTTCAGAATACTTATAATTTAAGTTCTATCTTTTTTCAAGTTAAATCATTGGAACTACGTTTGACCTGATTCCAGCTTCAACGGGATACGTAGGCGCCATTAAGGCTCGGTCATCTTCCCCGTAAATTTTCCAAATTTTAAGAACAGAAACTGGGCAAATTTTTGTGGAAGTCTCCAAAATTTTATAATGGAGATAGTTGTTACACGGGTAAAAAATTTTAGGAATGCCCTCAAAATTTTCACCAAGATTGTACCCAGACTCCAGTATTTATGGGGCTTCACTCCGAGTTGGTTTGTTTATTTTGCATTAATTTTTTGTACATGATGTCACATTCATTGTATAGTATTGATTTTTATTATACTCCATTAAAAAAATTAGTTTAATTGACATTTATTAAGTTTGGGTAGTCCGTCCTTCAACGCGACTCATTATTTCATTATTTTATTTTTGTTACTTTTGTTAAATTTAGGTTGTCCGCCCTTCAATGTGACTCACTGATTTATTCGACTATTTAAAATTTTCTTTAAATAGTAAATAAAAAAATATTTTGTTCAATTCAGATTGCCCACCTTTCAATGTGGCTCATTGATTTTTATTCTCATTATTTTTTCTTTCAAAAAGTAATTTGTTGTTTATAAATTTTATGTTATATTTGAATGAACTACGCAAACTTGATTCTTATCAATGAGATACGTAGACAGCCCTTATTGACTTCGATATTCTTTTTTCAAAAGATTTTTTATTTTTTATTCTTTGAATGTTTATATTTTCGAAATTATTTTTTCACTGGGTTGGTGCCAACACAGTTCAAGTAGCTACCAGGCGAGGCCACCGGCAAGCATAAGCTTCAATTGGCGACGCCCATGTCATCTTCCTCTGCCTCTTGTACCTTTCTCCACCTTCCTCTTATTCTTTTCCCTCTCTTTGCAGGACCAATAGAAGAGCCAGGCGAGACCACTAGCGAAGGAAGCACCCGCCGGCGAAAGCAACCACCAGAAATTAGCCCCGACAAGCAGCGTGCTGCGGCGAGAATGCCGAGTACCAGAAGTCGACGTCGCTCCTTCTATTCTCCATTTTTCGAGCAACAACAAAACCAGAAGCTTCGACTCCATCGAGCAGCGAAACAAAAGCAGCTTCGTCGATAGCTCCGACCAACAACTCCATGCAACAGCTATGGAGAAATCTTCTCCATCTCCAGCGCCCATTTCTTCTTTTGCAGCGAGGACGAACAAATTCCAGCAATACTTCAAAGCTTCTAAGCTTGTTAAGACAGATCTTTGATGATTCGTCCAGTTAAGTTTTAATTAATTTTATGGTCATTCCAAATCTCTAATCTTAATGAGTTTGAGAATTCAAACATCTTATAGTATGTCATGGTATATTAATTTGTCTTGTAAAATGTGATGTTTAGAAAATAAATCTAGGATGAAATTCTCTAATCAAACTTAATAGTGATCTAGAGGGTTTCTCCCTTTACGTTTGTGCTAATATTTACCGTCGGTTGTTTAACATGTTCATTGAGTTTTGTTTTACTCCGCCATAATCATGGATTTGTTAATTTCCAATATTTGTTTCTCTCAAATGATCCTAAATAGTTTATTGAAATCCAAGAATTTTTATTGCTGATAATTTGTTTTCATTTATGTTTAGTTTGAGAATTGTTGATTGTTTTACCAATTGAACTAATTGACTGATTTGTTTTTCCCTTCTTTTCTTGGTTGTAATTAGGATCTGTCAATTGTTTATAGATTTTGTCAAAATTATCGGAAATTGTTATTTAAAATTATAGCTTGCACTGCGTAATTAAAGTTGTAAATATGGATTCAATTGACTATTGTGTTTCTCTTGTCTTAATTACAGCAAACAATTCCAACAAAATATGCTTATGATAAATAAAGGAAAGCATCTAGTTTCGTAATAAGCGTGGGAGGTTGAAGAGCCGTCGTGAGAAGGAATGCTTGGACAGAGATTTTATATAATTAATTTCAATGTTTTAATTTTTATTTAAGTGTTGGTTGGTAATAATGTTGTATAACTCCGACTCTCCTATAAGTATGATATATTTGGGGGACCTTGTTTATTTATTTTATCGTAACTTATAAAGTTATAAAGCATGCATATATGATCTATATAACTTTCAATATGTTTTTGATTTTTTATCATATATATAAGTTTAAACTTCGCTATTAGATAAATATCATGCTTGTACGTTTGATAATAATTTCAACATGTTTATACTCAGAAAGTGCGCATGTAGTACTAAATAATTAAAATCAAATTCCAGCATGTTTATGACTGAGTAAAAATCAACCTCATGCATGATCCCTTTCTTTTTTATTATTGTTGGTAATGATTTCTGACTAAAAGATTGTATTAAATTAAACGTCTCTGCATGGTAATGTTTTGCCACCTAAAATAATTTTCGTCATTTATATTCAATCTGTTACTATTCTGAAGTATTTTATACACTAATAATATAGTAGCTTCTATCCTTTAAAATAGAATAAAATAAAAATAATAGTCTGCTATATTTAACAAACTATTTGACTTTTTAAATAAATATATATTATAGTGATAATCTCTGCATAAAGTAGTTGTTGGCTACATTAATGTTCTGTCCGTCTTTTTTATTATATAAAGTCTCATGACATGATTATTTTATTTTGTCAAAGTCATTGTTCAATTCTCCGTTCAAACTTTGGGTTGATTATGACATTTTTTTAAAAAAAAATAATTATAAGCACTATCTCCTAAACTATCGTTAGTGGAAAAGTCAAAGGAATTACGAGGTCTAATTCCAATTTTTAAATAAAGCCGATGCATCCTCAGATGATTATGTTGTTGCTATTAAGAACGAATGAAATCAGATGGTTCTATTTCTCGGAGTACCACCTATCCAAGATTTTTCAAAGAGATTATGTGTATTTAAACGTAAATATTTACGTGCTTATGCATATTTATACGTAAATATTTACGTGCTTATGTGTATTTATACATAAATATTTACGTGCTTATGTGTAAACTAATCTTTTTAGTCATCTTCAAAATATAAACTATTACTGATTTTCTGAGACCGATTTCAAATCAAATTGTTTCTATGGTAGAGGAGCACGATTAACAATATTGTGACATCATCTAAAAAATATTTTTTAAATAATTTTTTTTTACTCAAAACCTGCTCAATGTTCAAAGCTTTATTTTTGCACATCATACGCTTGTTTGGGGTAGCAAGATTAATAAAATTAGACTATCTTCTCTATCTATTTGTGCATATTCTGTCTGCTTGTTTATCTCTTTATTAATACCTAATATTTGTTTAATATTTATTTATCACATTGTTCACATTTTTAAATAATAAATAATTAAAGTAACCTTAATTGTTTAATAATAAAATTGGGGTGGCTAACATAAAAAAAATTGTTTGCCTATATGATTGTACGATTTCTATCATCTCGCGTATCTTATTATTAATTACTTAGTATTTATTATTAATTGCTTAGTATTTATTTCTTTTTTTATTTACTATGTCACCTAGTCACGCAGTCTCAACATAGTAATCAAAGTAACATTGTGATCTTAATTATTTAATATTCATTCATTGTTATCACCTAGTTTGGCATGATGATTAAATACATAATAAAAATGAAGTAACCTTAAATGTTACTTGTAACCCCCCACACAAATTGCATGAGATACGGTCGGGACCTACATATGTCGATCTCGAGGGATGCCTAACACCTTCTCCTCGGTAATTTGAACCCTTATCCTGATGTCTGAATCGTTGACCTTAGTTAGATTAATTAGGTTAGATAGGTGTCTTAACGTGCCTTAATTCGTTAGATGGCGATTCTTCAGACTCCAAATCCCAAAAGTATTATTAGATCGTGCACCAAAATCCACTTTTTGCAAAAAAATAATGGTAGTCGACATTGACTTTAAAGGTGGCATAGAGACATACAACTAAATGTACAAGACTGAGCATAAAATTCATGATTAGAATGCAGTATGCAAAATGTTGATTAGCTACTAAGAGATGTTCATGTGATTTTTATCATCCCCAAGTTCCAACTCTTTCCTTTAAAAATGTTTCTTTGGTATTGCCTACTTTTCCACCTTCTTTTTATTTGACCAAGAAAACATTTCACCACAAAAACTACTATTCCATCCTTTTCTTTGACAGGTGAGAGGTATTTCTTTTAGTTTCAATCATGTATCTCAAGCAGCAACAGTCCATATAGAATGTTTCTTTTTTCCTCCTACTTTTCCTGCAAATTCAAAGGTTAGATTTAGGAACTCATACTAGCTTGGGTCCTTTGTATTGATAAAAAGAATGAATCAGATCTCTATTAATCCATATTGGTAAAACATTTTTAGAATTTTTCTTTTGCCCCAACCTGTTCCTTTGACGTGATTCCTTTATTTTAACATGGTTGGTTTTTCTATTTGAGACAGTTTTGAAGTTCTTATTCATGTGAGTTATAAATATTGGGCATGTACCCCTTGAGTGACCACTACTAACATAATATGTGCATAGGAAGGAATGATGAGGCAGGTTTTTCTATGTTTGTGTTCTTAGCTTGCTCGAGAGGGAGGTTTTTGATTAATGATTTGTGGTATTGTGTTGGTCTGGGTTTAGATCGAGAGAGTGAATTCTAAACTCAATTCCACACATTTAGCTCGAGCAATTGAATGGATTAAGGTGTGGGTTGCTCTTAGTTTGCATGTTTGTTGATGTTCGAAAGAAATCCCCTAATTCGGGATAATTTTTCTAGTGAAAATTACCTTCCTCATAGTTTATCCTACTCACTAATATCTAGCTAATTACTAATAGTTGCAATTACCCGTATTCTTGTATTTGCCTATAATTAATCACATCCCAAAGAATCTGTCTCCCTATTGTTACTTCATAGTTTTATGACTGCTAGTAGTTATAATCTAAAACCTAAATCCCTATCTGACATTCTTGTCACCCCTTTTATTTGATATGTCTTTTTCCGATAACGTTTAATTCTATGGCTGATTAGACCACATTCATGCTTATTGATTTAATTTAAAACATGTACCTCTCCCTGTGGGATTCAACCACAACTCATCTAGTTGGATTTTATATTGATTTACAATCGTTAGAAACTTAGAATTGGAAATAGTGTATTTGAAACGTTATTAAACAATCATCGATAAATAAAAAAACATGACAAGATATTGCTAAACCACCCTATTCATCAAATTTATAAATGTTGTCGGGGCATTAGACAAACCAAATGACATCACCGAATATTCATAACAACCATACAAAATTTGAAAGCCTACTTCAAATGTCATTCTCCTTTAACCTAAATTTGTGATTGCCCGACCAAATATCAATCTTAGAGAAGTAATTTGCTCCTTGGAGTTAATAAAAGAATCATCTATCCGTGGGATACGATAATTCTCGATAGTCAATACACATGTAGAGTACCATCCTTTTTTCAAAAAGGAACACTGGAGCATCTTATAAAGTTATACTCGATCTAAAAAATCCTTATCCAACAAATATTTCAACTAGTCTTTTATTTTCTTTAGTTATATTGAGGCCATACGATAAGGAGGAATAAAGATAGACTACATATCTAGAAGAAGGTCAATGCTAAAGTCTATTTCCCGTTCTAGTGAATATACCACTAAGATCATTAGGAAACACTTCTGGAAACTCATTTACAATCAGAAATGAATCAAGAGTAGGGGTTTCAGAATCCATATTCCTAAACCGAACTAGATGATAAATTCAACCCTTATAAATCATTTTCCCAAGATATAAATTGATCCTTAAGAACATAATTTCCCCCTTCAATGACATGATTGGTTTATTCAGAACCTTAAAAGTGACAAATCAGGTCGTACAAACTATTGAAGCATAATATACATGAATACAATCCATCCCAAGAATAATGTTAAAGTCTAACATATTAAACTCTACAAGATAAACGTGAGTGACTCGATCAGAAACGAAATAGAAAAAATTTTATAGACTCTGTTAGCTACAATAGCATCACGAAGGGGAGTAGAGACATAAACTAGATTAGAAAGCATTTTAGGACCAACTTCAAATTTCATGGTGACATAAGAAGTAAAAAATTATAAGGTAGCACCCGTATCAAGGAAAGCATAAACGTTATGATGAAAGAATTTCAACACACCGGTCATCACATTCAGAGAACCATCAGGATCTTGTTGAGTTTGAAGAATATATAATATATTTTACTTCAGAGCACCCCCAAAATTAACCACTAGGTTGAGCTTTCCTACAATTTTTACCCTTTTTATCTAGAAACAGAAAAATTTTCCCCTTGTGACCCCTCTTTCAACAACCAAAGCAATCATCCGTATAGGCTAAGCATATCAGTATGTAATTCTTACCACACCTCAAGCAAATGGGTATAGATGATCCATTACCATCATTTCCTTCTTGAGGCTTAGGGTTAGAAACCTATCTTTTTTTAATGTAGGAGCCAAAGCATTATAGGAATCTTGACTAAAAATCCTTTTTCCGGAATTGAGGATTACTTTATCCACAAGACTTAAAATGAAAAAAGTAACCATCACTAGTCATTTCCCTCTTAGAATCTTTTGCCCTTTCATTGAGATTTTTGTCCTCAATTTGTTGGCAATGTATCATGAAATGAGATATATCCATTTCCTTGATCAACATGTCTGTACAAAATTCTTTGGAAAACTAGTTTGGAAACACCTAACACAAACTTATTCATCCTTACCCTAACATCGTTAATCATAGTTAAAGTATACTTAGAGTGAAATTGAAAGCATACTCCTTCACACTCATATTGCTTGATCAGAGGTTAATGAACTCTAGCACTTCCGCTTCTCTCATTCGATGATAAAGGAAACGATCAAGAAGACCTCCTTAAATTCCCCCAATCAAGACGTTTTGTACTAACCACCCTCTCACCTTTGAATTGTTCAAACCACACTTGAGCAACACCCTTGAGTTGGTAAGCAACCGAATCAACCTTATCAACCATAGACAATCCTATCATACCTACTATCTTTTAGATCTCACCAATGAACTCT